ATCACCCCATCACCATATTGCCTGGCTTCATGTTGCAGAGCTGATGTGGTTTAACCCGTGCCAGGAAGGAGTTCTCTCCTCCCAGTCAAGGAGGCAGAAGGTGGAACAAACAGCCCGCCGGGACTATGTCACCCAACAGGCAGTCAGGGAGGCAGAAGGAGGAACAAACAGCCCTCCGGGACTGCGTCACCCAGCAGGGAGGCAGAAGGTGGAACAAACAGCCCGCAGGGACTACGTAACCCAGCGCACAGGCAGGGAGGCAGAAGGAGGAACAAACAACCTGTTGAGTCTATGTCATCCAGCAGGCAGTCAGGGAGGCAGAAGGTGGAACAAACAGCCCACTGGGACTATGTAACCCAGCAGTCAGTCAGAGAGGCAGAAGGTGGAACAAGCAGCTCTCCGGGACTACATCACCCAGCAGTCAGTCAGAGAGGCAGAAGGTGGAAGAAAGAGCCTGCTGGGACTACGTAACCCAGCAGGGAGGCAGGAGTTCAACAGTTTTTGACCTGCTGGTCTGACTTGATCCAGCAGGCAGGCAGGCAGAACAGTTCTTGTCCTGCTGGTCTGATTTGATCCAGCAGGCAGGAGTTCAACAGTTCTTGGCCTGCTGGTCTGACTTGATCCAGCAAGCAGGCAGGCAAGCAGGCAGGAGTTCAGCAGTTTTTTGCCTGCTGGTCTGACTTGATCTGGCAAGCAGGCAGTTCTGACTTGGTTGGAACTTGGCCCGAGGAGGTGACTGGAATCAGCAGCTGGAGTTCTGACTGAGGGGCAGGTTTACAGGCCAGCAGGCAAGTATGCAGGCCTTTTTTTTCCAGGAGGACTGGAGGGTGGGCAGGTGAGTAGGCAGGCGGGCGCAGGCAGGCAGTGTGTTAAGGGAAAGAATCATTGGAAACCTAACTCTTTTGGTTCAGCGAGGGACAAATCTGGCCATATGACTAGTTTCCTAGCCCAGTAATGGAGGGGATCTGACTGGTGGGGCTGAGGGGGCTCAGCCAGATATTCCCGCACCATTATCAATGCCGAATCCTCCTCGGCCAACTGTCTTTCCTCTGAGGCAAGTCCCAAGGTCACCACAGAGCTTCAGTAATGTTGGTGGTGAATGGAAGCTTCACCAGGTGAAGTCCTTCCCTGTGGTTTTGGCAAACCACCCTGCCCCTCGTGGCCTGATGTTCCCGTCTCACCATGCAAGCGTTGTGACCCCAATGCCCTGCGGACCTCAGTGGAAAGCTCTGTTCTCCACTCCTCGAGGTCTGAGGTGCCTGCTGCCAAGCCCCCCTTGATTTGAGGATGACACAGGCAGGCCATGGGGTAAGCTCTGTCACTGCAGACAGGATGGAGTCACTTCTGCACACCTGCCTGCAACCTCTTCACCAAAGCCATGGTCCGTGGAAGGAGGGAGGATTCCGGTGCCAAAGCAGTCTCCAGGGACTGATCGAGGGCATGAATCAGGGGGATGACCTGCCCCAGGCTTGCTGTATAACCACACAAGATGTCTGTGGTTTCCAGGAAGGGATTGAGCACCTCCACCATCTGGGAGAGGGCCAGCCAATCCGTGGCACTGATGCCCACCTCTCTCCCCCACGAGCAGAATGGGCATGGAAGACATGATGTCCTCCAAAATGGCCTTCTGCTCCACCAGGCAGGACACCATGGTGTAGGTGGAGTTCCACCTGGTGGGCAGGTCTGTCAGGAGAATGTGGGTCTCCTGACCCAACTCCTCCTGCCTTTCACGCAGCCGGCGGGCAACTTTCGGGCTGCAGGAGAAGTGGTCCACCAGTTGGTGGCATTGCTCCAGGAGTGCCCGCATCTCCTGGGGCCCTGCATCCCACTCGGGCTTGACGTGGCTGTGCAGGCCAAGGGCATTGCACACCACAAGGTGTAATTTGTGCGCCATGCATATGATGCCCTCAAAGCCCACCATGTTCAATGCCACCAACATGTTCCGCCCAGTATCTGTGACCATGTGGCCACTGGTCACCTACTCCTCAGGTGCCCACTCCTGCAGCGTGGATGGGAACTCATCAGTGATGTTCCTCCCCATCACTTGAGCTTCTATGTGCCACGCCTGCAGCTGAATGGACCTGTAACCTGGGGGCATGTCAAGGGCCTCCCCCTGTGGCCCTGTTGCCGATGTCCTGTCACTACTCAAGTCCTCTGGCTGCCACCAGTGGGCTGTGAGCGAGAGGTAGCTGTGCTGACGTCCACTCCACAGGCCTGCTGTGAAGTGCACCTTGTGCACCTTGTGCACCATCTCCCTCACAGAGTCATAGAGTGAGGGCAGCACTCTAGAACTGAGAGTTCTCTGTGAGGGGAGGTTGTACCAGGGGAAAAAAAATCCAGCAACTGGCAGAAGGCTTGAGATCCCACGATGGATGGTGGAAGACCGAGCAGGGCGATCGTCTCAGTGACAAGACAAGTAATCGCCTGCTGGGCCTTGCCCTTTGACCGCCGGCTGAGAGTCATGACAGACTCAAGAGGTGCCACTTCGTGGAGCGTGGCCTGCCTCATGCTCCCATCCCCAGAAACCCCTGTGACTGCCCTTTTGAAAGGAGGTGCCTCCTTCTGCCTCCCCTGGAGCTGCTCTTTTCCCTCTCCCAGACAGTGTGCCTTCCCTGGACAGGAGCCTTGGGTGGTGCCTCTTCAGGTTTTGGCAGAGGGCAGTGGAGGACAGATGCCTGGAGTCTGACCCCCTCAGGGACCACCCCAAGGCAGGTATTGCAGTGTGCCAGCCGTGGGTCATTGCTGAGCGATGTGAAATGATCGCACAGGGCCCCTCTGCCATGTTTGCCCAAACGAGGACCCATTGCCTGCCCCTGACTGCTGGCCTGGGAAGAACTCTGTGTCCCAGGGTGCTGCTGGTCTGGGAGGAAGTAACAGATGGCTCTGGGGACAGTGGGGAGGGGCTGTGAAGCCTGCCCTGCTGTCACTGGTTCTAAATTGGACTGGGGATCTTTAGAAACCAGTAACTCCTCAGATTCCTCTAGGAAGAGGAGTGGCAGTTCTTTTGGCATCTCTGGAAGCTTTGGTTCCCTGCCTGCCTTCAAGGCCACTGGAGGAGGGACAGTGGCACTGGTTATCATAGATGTGGTTGTGCACGTGGTGGTCGTGATGACGGTGCTGCTACCTAGCCTGTGTAGCTTCACAGCCTTCTTCC